TTGAATACTTGTGAAAGTTGGTATACGGGATCAACATAATTTTTATAGTCCAAATACGAATGTGAGCAAGCAGCAATGACATGAGAGCATGGATATTTGAGTGCTTGAAAGAAACCACAATCGCACCACCTCTCTTGCAGATTAACTCTGAAAGAGTTAGCTCCAATCCCTTACAGCGGACGTGGTATTTCGGTTACACGAAACAATTCACGGGTGCGAGAAAAATTTGTAACTAACATCCCATTTGATGCAGCCACTTTTTTCTATAAATCAACTACTAGTCTTGGGTGGTAAATATGTCTGTTTTGCATCCAAGTAAGAGCTTGTCCACCGAGCTTTGCAAAGAGTTGACCCAAACGAAAATAAGTCGTTTTAACCAACGACGACTCATTTTCAGAGAATTTGAGAATTTAGAGTTTGGGAATTTGAGAATTTGAAAGCTTGTGAACTGAAGTTTGTTTTGAAAGTTTATAATATGTTGCATAATAGTGTCTATAATCGGAGTACTATTCACATGAAGGCGCGTTCCCGGGGGGCGTCTTCCATTATTTTGTCAGAGAATATGTTATCATTGCCCTATTATGTCACTCATGTCCTCGGGGACACTAGATATATCAGTACCTATTATTTCACTATTACATGAAGGTGCGTTCCCGGGGCGCGCCTTCCATTATTTTGTCAGAGAATATGTTATCATTGCCCTATGTCACTCATGTCCCTCGGATACTAGATATATCAGTACCTATTATTTCACTATTCACATGAAGGCGCGTTCCCGGGGGCGCGCCTTCCATTATTTTGTCAGAGAATATGTTATCATTGCCCTATTATGTCACTCATGTCCCTCGGGGACACTAGATATATCAGTACCTATTATTTCTCAGGGGACCTGAAGGCGCGTTCCCAGGGGCGCGCCTTCCATTATTTTGTCAGAGAATATGTTATCATTGCCCTATTATGTCACTCATGTCCCTCGGGGACACTAGATATATCAGTACCTATTACTTCTCAGGGGACTTGAAGGCGCGTTCCTGGGGGCGCGCCTTCCATTATTTTGTCAGAGAATATGTTATCATTGCCCTATTATGTCACTCATGTCCCTCGGGGACACTAGATATCAGTAAATCAGATAATTATAACCAAAATTTAACTCTTTTGAAAGTTCAGCAAGTTAAGAATAACTTAAATTAAAACGTTATGTGAAGTTTGAATAAATTAGATAAAATGTTATGGATAAATTGAATAAATGTGAAGTGATAAGTTGATTGTGACATTGTAATTGTATGGAATGAGCATCGAGATGTTTTTACGAATAAATGTGAAGTCATAAGTTGATTTTAATGTATACGTTTTAATATTTATGTTAATGATAAAATCATATGTATGGATAAATTTAATTTCAATTTAAGTATTGTGAACTATAATTGGAATATAACTTTTAATTTCGAATACAATTGGAATATTAAGTTGAAATTTAATGTTAATTTTCGAATACTATAATTTATATTTTAAATTTAATTTTCGAATAATAATTTTTATTTTATTTTAAATTTCGAATAATATAATTTGTATTTTAAAACATTTATCAAACATTTAATGTTAAATGTGAATAAAAATAACATTAAAAATATGTATGTACAACCATGAAACATTTAAATAACATAACCAAATTACATAAAATTCTGAAATAACTATTTAAATAATATTAAATACAACTGATCACCGATGTCGTCTTCTCGAATGAGTTCCACATGGCGGTGGTTGTATTTCGTGGAGGATTTCTTCGTGGAACTTGTTCTTCAGTCTCATCTTCACTATCATTATCAGCATCATTTTCTTCATTTGGTGCAGATGACGCTGAAGGGGCTGAAGGGCCTGTATAAAATAACGACCCTGGAGGAGTGCTAGTAACAATCCCACCGCTCCCCGGGAACTGTGAAAAATGTAGAAACATTGGTATCGATGTCTGTGATCTAGATGGAGATTGAGGTGTCTGCGGAGAAGCACCACCAGTCAAATAAGATGCATATGAACCATATGTTGGATCATTAAACATACTCGTATATGCACCTCCATATGGTATAAAACCCTGCGGGCTCGGAATTTAACCCTGCGGAGATGGCATATAAACTGGTGGGCTTAGCATATGAGGTGGAGGGCTGGGCATGTACCCCTGCGGCATCGACGGATAAGGATGTTGTGGTGGGACTGATGCAGAACCGGTAGCGCCTTCTCTCCGTCCACGCGTCGGGGGACGATGATATTAAGACGGTTGACGTCTTTCTCGGCGCCTAGGAATGTTAACCCCTCGTGCTTCCGCCAAAAGTAGAAACGGCTTCCCATTTTCATTAAACCAGTCCATATAGTTATCCGTAACCATATGACCAGTTTCAGCGTAATATTGTCGAGGGGCCAACAGTGTATATCGGTTCTCCCAAAGCGCAATTCAATCTCTGTGTCTCACCACCCAGTTAACATCTTTCTTTCATCGTCTATCTATGTTATGCACGTCGTCTAAATTCCTAGGTGCTCCAGGAATATATTGCGTACAACCATACTGACGGAGCACGCGATCAATTGAATGCCACTCAATAATAGCATAACATATAAGAGGTATAACCGATATCCATACCTCTAATGATCCACTAAGGTGGGGTGGGATGCAAGCTTTCACTTCATCGCTCGCATAAGGTATCCACTGAAACTGAAATATAAATATACAATTCAAATAAATAAATATTTAATTATATCTAGCATTTTAAATTAAAATATTAATAATTAAATAAATTAAAAACATACCTCAGACCCAGCTTCGTATCAATAAGTAATGAATTTCCTCTAACCCAGTAGGTATACTTTTATGGTTTTTCATCGACCACCTATGAAATAATATAAACTAAATATCACCCTATTTAATTGAAAATATTTAAATCAAAATTTAGTTCGAAAATTACCCTCAACAATAAGGGGAATACGTATGGTTCATTCACGATCGGGCATAAGAAAGGCATGCGGAACCACGCCCGTGATTGTAGAAGCAGAAGACATCCACCGATAGCAGTTTTCTTATAATTCGTCGCCCGACACATTTCTCTAAAGAGAAATGCCAAAACTGCAGCGCCCCAACTATATCTTTCCAGCTTCATCAAAATCGATCAGATGCCGCAACATACAATGCACCTGGTTGCGAGATTTGTCGGGCATCAATATTCCTCCAATTATTCGTAGAATATATGCCTGAGCACATGCCTTTGCTTGATCCTCTGAAGCATTTTCATTTAAAACCTCAAAATTAGCTTTCAACCAAGATAAAGCTATTCTACCTCCATTAAACTCTGGCGGAGCAGCTCCAAGATAATCAATGCACATTGATTGCCAATCACTATCCGCCATACACATCATATTTCCGTCGGGAAGCCCCAGATGCATAGAGACATCCTCCAATGTAATTGTGGCCTCTCCACATGGAAGGTGAAAAGTGTGTGTCTCGGGCCTCCACCTCTCAATCAGTGCAGAAATTAGGACAGGTTCGAGTTTGCAACCGCCTATAATTGTTGCAATATACCCGAACCCGGCAGAAGCCAAATATGGCAAAATACGTTCCAATGTCGGTATACGTGGATTTTTAATAAAAGTCTCTAAAATACGATCAGTATCCTAAATAATATACATTATAAAAATAAAAATAATATAAAATTCATAATAACTTTAAAATAAAAATAAATTTAAATATTAACATTAATTATAAAAATATTACCATCGCTAAAATGTCTGGAGATATGATCAATATTCAATCGCAACAGCATTTCGTTTTCCATTATAACTGTAGACAAAACAATATAATTAGCAAAAAAATAATAATTCTAAATAATAATAATATAAATATTATTTTAATAAAAAATAATATTTACATAAATATATTAATATAAATATAATAACTATTTAAAAAAATACTAACATAAAAATAAATTTCTTACCACTAATAACAAATTTAAAACTCAAATAGTTGGAGAATTTGAGTTATATAAGAGAGGAGAATATGATTTTGGTGTGAAGAATGAGGGAGAGTTGAGGGGGTTTATATAGGGGAGGAGGGGGGTAGTTAGGGAAAACGGATGTGGGGCATTTAATGGAAGCCGCGTCCTCGGGGATGCGCCTTCCACACGTGGCATCCAACTCAACGAAAACACGAGTAACCTTTCGCCAGCTCAGCCAAAAAGATGTCACTTCAAGAAATATATATTAAACGATACTAAAAAGATAAATATTAGTTAAAAACGTGTTAATTTAGTCAAATAGCCTCAATACATGACTTGACTGTAACCATTGTTGATAATCTTCTCTAACATGTAGTACGTGATTTCTTCTTTGTGGGTCCCCATCACATGGCAATCCTGGGTGGATGTTGATCGATCGATGTGGTCTATACATTTTTTGAGAAAATAAATTAAATAGTACAGTAACCGAATGATGATCTGGTTAAAAGGTGGAAAATATAGGAAAGTCTTATAATTATGCTATTTGGACTCCAGTCTAAAAATATTTATTTTTATTCAACCTTCATCCCCCTCCCAAATTTGATATTTAATTTTGTTTGATGACCAAAACATTCCGTGGTTCCAATGAGTTGTCCGTTAGATATCTTATCTAACGGCTTGAACCGTTGAGATTACGAGGAACAGGCGTAGGCACCCAACGAATAAAAAAACTGAAAGCTAAGAGACAAAAAAAAAAACCCAGAAAAACCGGGGTGCGTGTGTCTAACCTGCGACTGGAGCTTGAGCGGGGAAGAGATAGATTATGCCAGAGCAAAAGAAAATAAAATTAAAAAACAAAAACATAAAGGAAAGGCAATAGGCAGCCCCAAAATTCTTGACATTAGTTGTCTCACAGGGTACATTGGTAGTTGATTTACAACCCACACCTGGTCTGGGTGAGGGAAATTTTCAAACTGCTCTCAGATTTACAAATCTAAAACCCAGACATGAACTAAATAATATTTGTCGGGTCAGGAAAAAAGAGAGAGGAGAAAATCAAAGAGAAGCGATGAAGCAGCTTCATCTTAATCATCTTCTCCCAAAAAAAAAGTTCCATTAAGCAGATTTTCATCTGAGAATTGATGTTAGAGACTGAAAAACAACTTCTTCACAAGGAATGGTGAGGCCCATGTCATGAGCAAAACCAAACTCTTCTTCAGCTTGATGAAGCAGGGTCTGGAACTCGGGTCGGGTCAAGAAAGAGATGGGAACAATGTATCTGCTTCTGTTTTCCCCAACGTATACGACGAAGTGGCCTCTTGGGACATCCAGGGGAAGCCCTCCTTGTTCATCATAGCTTTGTTTCTTTCCTAAGCTGGAGCATCTTTTCATGATTTGCTTTATCACTGCCGTTTGTGCCAATTTGTTTGATTTCCTGATTGCCATTTTGGTTTTTCTTCCAAAACCACTAGATTTGGTGGGAGAAAATGAAGAAGTAGAGAATGGTTTAGTGAAGAATGAATGGAGGATGTATATATGGTGTGAGCTGTGGGTTATTGAAAGAGAGAGAAAACAAAGACATGTGAGGCTGTGGCCTGTAGGGACAAAAAAAAATAAAGACCATGGGTGTTTTTGGGGTTTGTCGAGAGAGCTTATACTATGGGACATGCCCGGAGGAACCCCCCTCCTGCTGCCCTCTCTAAGGACATCATGGCCCCCTCCCTTTACTCAGATTTAAATTACGTTAACGCGTTTTTATAATAGTATCACGTTTCTGTATTTGTCCAACAACAGATACTATCACAACCAATCATGTTATATGAATAAAGATGGAATTACAGAAATAATATCTTGGCTGCAAGAAAAATATATCAGTTTATTACAAAAGGAGTAATATTTGTTCAAGATATCCATTCACCATTGATAACACGTACTACTCCCGTAAACGCAATTTATTCAAGCTCGAGATCTTTAAAGAGAATCCGCATAACTTGACTTGAGACATGAGGGGTCCGTAGGGTTTATGAAACCACTTGGCACTCTCTTTTCTAAAATTTAGAGCTTCGGGTTCTGAGAATCCATTGACAGACACATGCATGTACGTGCTTGCTATAGTTGTATATGTTTCCATGAGTATTATTTATTTATTTTTTTGCAGGTTTTTATGCCTCTATCGATTCAAATCATCGTTTAATTCAGAAGCCTTAATTGTATGTCTTTTGTATCGGCTCAAAGATCCCTCTATATATTTTGCATCATGAAAATAGCTTTCCGGGTTCAATAACCCCACAATGTAAACATCAATTCTGTCCTTTTTCTTAGCCTATCGTCATTTACACACATGAATGAACATCATCTGAGTTTGTATTTCATGTCTTCCTATTTTATAATATTATTTTCAGTTAAATGAATATTTATTAATATTTTAACATATAATATCGAGTAACTTATAAACCAGTACCATGCACGGATCCTAAATTAAAATAACCTTCTCTCGTCTAAATATTTTAAGGAAATCCTACATGATTCATCTCATAGTTTCTTGTTAATACATATCCCTTTGCGAGATGATATATAATTCAATCAAATAAATGATCTTCTTATCACATTGGTTAAAAACCTTTAGCCCATTGAGAGAATTTAGCCCCTATTTTTTTATAATAATATTTTAGATATAGTTTAAATATTTAATAGTTTTTTAACATAAATTCGTTTTATATTTTTTAATATTTCACCCCTGCTTTAGTGTTTACAATTATATATATATTCAAGAACGGATGAATGATTTTATGATAGGATAAACAAAATTATAAAATTTTAAGGGGATACAAGTTTAAGTGAGAACGAAAACAAATTTTGAATAAAAAATATTAAAGATATTTAAAATAAATAAAAATTAAAAAATATAAAGTAAATATAAATTTAAAATTTTTACGATGGATGATAATCCCCACCTGTCCCGCCTAAGTCCATCACTGTATATAATGTATATTTCTAAATATGTTTTAATGATCAAAACAAATTATGTCAATTTGATATTAGATTGTATATAAAAATATAAAATTGTATTTATTTGAAGGTGTTAGAGTTTGTATTTAAAAAAAATTAAATTGATCTCGTATATTAGCTTGAAATGTTATTCTTTTTAGATAATTCAGTTTGGTACAATTTTATTTATATGTCTTTGTATCTAGATTTAAAACTAAACACGTATATTAGCTTGAAAATATATTAAAAATGATAAAAAAAATCAAATCTTTAATTTTTTACACTTAATTAAAATGTTGAACTCAAAAGGTTGATTTATATTATCCTTTTATCGACATAAATTATTATTAACAATTATGATGTCTATTTTTAATACTTTATAATTACTTTTAAAATTTAGTTTCTATTAGTTTATAATTTATCATTTTATGAAGAAAATTATAATTTTTAATTTTTAAAATTCATAATAATGTTTTTACTTCTGATAATTTCAAATTTTATTCCTAAACTATTTCAATAATTAACTTTTTTTAAAAAATATTTGAAAATTAAATAAACTCTAAAATTTTATAAAAAATAATTAAAAAAAATTCTTTAAAGAATTAATAAGATAGTTTATCACAGCATTATTTCCATATAATTATCACTTCAATACTTAATATGTTATGTCAGTATTATTAATTGTCATATCATCAATGTAATAATCATTGATGATTTTTGTCTATTGAAAAATTATATTGATTGATTTTCTAAATTTAAAAATTTAATTAATTGAATACAATTAAATTTTTAATTAATATATTTTAAAGTAAAAAATTTCTAAAATTCTAGAACTTTTCACCATATGGAGTACTCCTCTAGTTTAATTAACCATAGATTTTTTTTCCTTCCTGTGTTTAATATTGGCAATATATGTTTGGAGCTAATTTCGTAGGCACTAATTAATTGGGTGGCACATATCCAGCCCAGCTACCTGCCGTACACTACTGATATATAAGCACCTTATCAGAAACTTGGAGAGATATCATAAAAAAGGGTAAATTACGCATTTAGTATCTATTCTATCAGTTTTGATATGTTTTAGTATATAAACTTTCATTTTTTTAAAATCATATCTAACATTTAGTTTTTGTTTCATTTTAGTACTCATTGTTAAAAACTTAACGCGTTTATAACTTAAACTATCAATTTTGGTCCGTTTTAGTGCCTAAGCTTTCAGATTTTTTTTTCAAACCTTAACATTGAATTTTGAACAATGATACTAAAACGAAACAAAAACTAAACTTTAGGTATGATTTTGAAAAAATTGAAAGTTTAGGTACTAAAATGGTACAAAATTGATATTTTAGGTACTAAAGGTGGAATTTACCAAAAAATGTAAAAAAAAATTTAAGATAAAGCATTTGATTCATTAAAAGCCAATAGCGTCAAATTCATCCAAGTAGAACTAGAAAATATTGGTTCTCGACAAGGTCCGATGAACTAAATTATGTGCTACCCTATTTGAATCACGATTAGTATAGAAAACCTTGAATCCCGAGTGTTAGGCCAATAAATCGTGAGCCTCGTTAAACATCAATCCGACGATCGAGATGTCCTCTTTCCGGTTAGCTAACCGATTAACAATGCCAATCACGTCACCTTCTACGATGGCCTGCTATCATCCATTTTCAACTGCAAAGTGTAAACCATGCATGAAAGCAACAGCCTCTGTGTTTCGTAATTGTGTAGGCGTTCCAACCAGCGAGCCAAACCTCCCATAACCAAACCGTCGTGATCAAGTGTCTCCACGCCGACTGCAGCCTCACCGGTACCAGGAATGAAACTTCCATCTAGTACGTGGATTATGTCTTATAAATTTAAGGGTAAAATACACAAATGGTCCCTCAACTATAGTGTAGTTCTTTATTAACTCCATCGACTGTTAAAAGTTACAAAATGATCATCTCATTATAAAATATTGTTTTGTTAAGTCCTTCAACTATTAAAAATTATAAAAATTAGTGATTGTCTAAGTTGGACGTAAATATGATGATTGAAATATGATAGTTGTTTGAGATTTTGGGATAAAATTTTATCATATCACAGTAGTAGATTAACGTTCATATTAGAATATCGTCAAAATTTTAACCGGAAAAAAGACGAGTTTATAACATAATGAATAGTCGGTGATCATTTTGTAACTATTAATAGTCAATGACTTAATAAAATAGTATTCTATAGTCGGGGACCATTTTAAAATATATTACTGAATCAAATTTATTCTTTAGAAAATATTAATAATTCAGCCAATTTATTTTCATTTGAAAAACGCATTAAATTTTCAACAAAAAACGCTTTGAAGTTTGAATATAATAATTTAACATCAACTTTCTATAATAATCGAAAACTATGCAACTGGAGAGTTGTGTTTGAAATTGAATGGGAAGAACACGTGGTCACTTCACTATAGCTCCACATGTGACTGATGGATTTGATTGTGTTCATACCTTTTGACTTGGGTGAACATAAATAGTCAGAATTAGAAATAAATTTAAAAAATAAATGATGGGGGGGCACTCGGCTTACTTCTGAGTAGATAGATGTAAGGCAATCCCCATGTTCTATGGTCCTGAGAGCCACAGCTGCCCTTCATTAATTTATACCAAATTAAAACACAACGCATGGTTACGGTCACGTACGTACGTTGAGGCCAATTCCCGTGTACCCTTTTCTTCAACTCTTTAATCACATTCATTATATACGTCTGTATATATTAATTAGTACATTAATAGTCAGACTCATTAATTAATTGGTAGAATAATTAAAAATATTTATATGAATTTAAATTTTTATATTTATTTTGAAATTATAATACATTCTTACTTTAGGGAAAAAATAGTACATCTACGGTCCTTGAATTATTTACATGCTTAATGTTATAAAAATACGTAGACTTTTCTCAAGTGAAAAAAAGTAAAAACAGATGTTTATAACAACATTTCTTATCCATAAAAAAAATAACTTATATTCAGTGGATTTGTTTGATTGAAATCGATCAAAGTACATACATCAGATGTGACGTATGAATTTTAAGTTTAAAAAGTGTTTTTGTTGTATAAAAAACACCCATTTATCAAACAAGAAAAAAACACAAAAAATAGATCGAGAAGATACAAATTTCAGACATTGAACATTCATTCAATGGCATTTAAAAGAGCGTATCATAACCTGTTGTCTCAATTAGTAATCGGATAATCTCTCTGAATATATTATAAAATCTGAAAAAGGTAAAAGATTATAAAATCTTAAAGTATGTATGAGGTAAGAAGATAATTATAAGATAATATTTGTTTATAATTAGAGTTGTATCTAGGCTTGGATAATAGGCGCACCAGTCTTAGGCCCAGAATTTTTATAGTATATTATATTTATAAAAAATAATTTTATATTAATTATAATGCCTAATTATTTTTACTACTTATATAAAAACTAATTTTTTCTAGTATTTATTATTATGTGTTCA